TCCTCGTATGTTCTCTTCGATATAAATCACACGTAACTTAATAATATTGCGACACAAAAAAATAGAATGTACGAAATTCAACATAAATTTCGCACTTACCAATTATATGACTCGTGACAGTACTCGTTCCGCAATCGTTGCGTTCTGTATCCATCACGTTCTGCAATTAAAACATTAATATAATTAAGATGGCGAAGGAGCGTGCTTCGTCTCGCGCGCGATTAACTTTACGCGAAATGAGCGCTGCAGCAACGACGGCAGCGTTTATGCGTTAACGTAATTAAGATAATGAAGCGGAGCAATTTGTCCCGTACGCGGTCAACTTACGCGAAATAAGCATCGCGGCGATGCTACGTGTCAGACAAACGCAAATACAATACACCCACTTACCAATTATTAGCGGCGACGCCTCTCGTTCCGAAGATCATCTATCTCGTATCGAGTTCTGAAATTATAAAAAAAGAAACGCTATTAAAATGGTGAAACGGTTTCGTCTATCCGTGCGACCGACTTTGCGTGCCAATAGCGCCACCGTACGCGCTGCGGCGGCGTCGGTGCAACAGTGGCGCGCGGCGACGCCGACGCTACATATTTCGATTTTCGATCGAACGAGTATTGCGAAATACGCATCCGATCAATCTTGCGTCTAATTAGCGCGTAATATAGATTCGGCATTCGAACTCTGATTCGGTCGAATGCGTAATCGCAATACTCGTTCGGTCGAAAATCAAGACTTGTATCGCCGCCGACGCGTCGCCCGCGCCGCGACGCTTGTTTCGCCTTAGCTGACGGCACGCGGAACGCATTACGCCGCTTCACTATCTTATGCGTTTATCCATATGTTCGCTGTATGTTAACGTACGCCATACTTATGGATAAATGCGTAATTAAGATAATGAAGTGGAGCAATTTGTCTCGCACGCGGTCAGCTTAGGCGAAACAAGCGTCACAGCGACGCGGGTCGGCGGCGGTGGCGACGGCGATAGTGCGGCGATGCTACGTGTTAGATAAATGCAAAGTCCCACTTACCAATTATATTAGCCGCGACGCCTCTCGTTCCGACGATGATCTCTCTCGTATAGATCTCTGAAATTATGAAAAAAGAAACGCTACAATAGTGAAGCGGTTTCGTCTCTTCGCGCGATCCACTTCGTGTGCGCGATCGACTTCGTGTGCAAGAGCGCCACCGTACGCGCTGCGGCGGCGTCAGTGAAACAGCGGTGCGCGGCGACGCGTCGGCGAGAGTGGCGGCAATAGTGGCGCGCGGCGACGCCGACGCTACATATTTCGATCCTCGGTCGAACGAGTATTGCGAAGTACGCATCCAATCAATCTTGCATTTAATTAGCGTAATATAGATTCGGCATTTGAATTCTGATTCGATTGGATGCATAATCGCAATACTCGTTCGGCCGAAAATCAAGACGTGTACCGCCGCCGACCCGCGTCGCGGCGACGCGGGTCGGCGGCGGTGGCGACGGCGATAGTGTGACGATGCTATATGTTAGACAATTAAATGCAAAGTCCCACTTACCAATTATATTAGCCGCGACGCCTCTCGTTCCGAAGATGATCTATCTCGTTCTCGTATCGAGTTCTGAAATGATAAAAGAAACGCTACTAAAATAGTGGAGACTGGAGCGGTGTCGTCTATCCGCGCGATCAACTGCGCGGCTCGCGTGCCAATAGCGCCACCGTACGCGCTGCGGCGGCGTCGGTGCAACAGTGGCGCGCGGCGACGCCGACGCTACATATTGCGATTTTCGATCGAACGAATATTGGGAAATACGCATGCGATCAATCTTGCGTCTAATTATCACGTAATATAGATTCAACATTCAAACTCTGATTCGGTCGAATGCGTAATCGCAATACTCGTTCGGTCGAAAATCAAGACGTGTATCGCCGCCGACGCGTCGCCCGCGCCGCGACGCTTGTTTCGCCTTAGCTGACGGCTCGCGGAACGCATTACGCCGCTTCACCACCTTAGTTATGCGTTTATCCATATGTTCGTAATTGTATGTAACGCCATACTTATGGATAAATGCGTAATTAAGATAATGAAGCGGAGCAATTTATCTCGCACGCGGTCAGCTTAGGCGAAACAAGCGCTGCGTCGACGCGCGACGCGGCGGACAATTGTGGCCGATCATGCGAGCAAATTTAGTGTAACTTAACAAAATGATAGGAAAAATAAAATAAATTTATAGATTACAATGATTACATGTACCAGGATATAAATTTCTTTCCCAATGCATTCGTGCTCATCCATTTTTTCCAGCGCATGAGCTGTCTGAGGCTGTACATACATCGTCGGATCGTCGCTGGTGACGCGACGTGACACACCCGCTACTCGATGCGAAATGTCTCGCAGTCGCGCGTACGTGCCATTTATATAGTAGCCCGCACTCAAGCGCTCTGATTGGAGCGCGCTTACTACTCGAGTTGGGTATATAAGCGGAACGCTGCACTATCGAAGACCTTTTGCTTGTCGGACTCCGACGTGAACGCGTCGGCACTCGGCGCGCGACTACTCTTTATCTTCGCGTTTATGCATTTTCCACATTTTAAATATATAACTAATACACGCGCTTATTGCACGTAATAATAATCGTTATAAGGGACGCGTATGCATTGATATTTCGTTCGAACGCGTATTTCGCGATACTCGTTCGACTAAAAATCGAAATGTATTGCACGCCATCGCGTTGCCGCGACGCTTTTTTCTCGTAAGCTGAAAATCATATATAAATGCATATATAAATTAGTTTTGGAGCATATCAAGAAAATTTGTTTCCAGAACGATTTATTTTAGTTCCAATATCATTACGTCATTACAGCTACATCGTTGATCTGATCATGAGTTTTGCGTGACGCGGTCATTTAATTAGAAGCGGCATTGCACGCCACACGGACGCGACACGTCGGAGTCCCATAAGCAAAAGACCTCTCATTACGTAACGTCCCGCTTATATACCGATTCGAGTAGCCAGCGCCGAGCCAATCAGCGCTCGTGGGACTCCGGCGTGATCGCGTCGGCAGTCCCACTTGATTTATGGGGAACGCGGGCCGCGCGATTGCGCGCAACTATGCACTTTAGCGCGGACCATGGAGAGAGACCGCCCGTGTCAGTTTTCGGCGGACGATTATGGGTAAGGAGCGAGATGCCAATATGTATAACCGGCGCGCAATAATATAATAACTCACGAATGTGATTGCCGGGGCGGTCAGATCCGAAAGTCGAAAGCGTATAGTCCCGACTCGGCACTCGGCGCGCTGCGCGACCGCATAAAACGTTCGTATTTCGTTTTATAGAAACAGACTGACGGATATTAATGGCACTTGCCTCTTTTTATCAATATGCGCTCAATGTTTAAATTGTAACGTAACGCATTTGCAAATAAATGAAACGGAAAATGATGTTAGATCCTTTCTCGTAATTGCTCGAGAATAAAACTCCAGCAGACACGAAAAGTGGATTTAGCACGGACACGCACCATAAATTGTGCAGAAAACTGGATTTTGCTATGTAATTTGGATCCACTTCTTCGGAGGGCGTTAGTGCACGAGGGCATTTTAGCGGCCAAAAGGCCCGTCATGTCCTCCCTCGGATCCTCTCTGTTTGCACCGAGAGACCAGAGGAAAGAAAGGATTTTAAGGAATCAGCTGTTATTAAACTAGGGGAGTCCGCAACACACGGAAATTCATATATAGGAAATCTCCATCAGGCAGTTTTTGTTTGCATCTTTTTTTTTCTTTCGGAGCGCCCCGAATCCGAGGACGCCATCTAGTCTCGGCGATCCTCGCGCTCGGCGACTCCGTTATTATTAGCCGTCTGCTCCGCTGTGCAGGCTGGTGGTTTGACGTATGTGAGACAAACAGCAGGATGCCGACGTGCGTGGGGCCCGCGCCGATGAGCCCTCGCGAACCGCTGTCGTCCGTCGCGGCTTTGGCAGAGGCGAAGCGTCGGACGCGGTGCCGTCGGCCGCGTTGATCAGTGTGGGGCCCGCTTCGCGACGACGCGCGACATTCACAACAGGGATATATCTTGCGGTGCGGCGTCGCGAGAAGCAGTGCTGCGAACGGCTGATTGACCAGCGGGGGTCACGGCCAGAGATAACAAACTTATTCGGGCCTTCTATCGATCGCGGCGGAGATCCCGCCGTCAGCGGTTGCGTGGGACATCTCGTCTGACCTGGTCATCTTGGATGCGTATGTGAACATATGTATGTGTGTATATATATGTCTATATACTCTAATTTATTTTGCCTCTGCGGTGCGTCTTCCGCGGAATGATTCACGCGTCATTAATAATTTTTTTTTTCCCCACAGTTATCGGGCCTACCATTCGGATGAGCAATATTGCTCTCAGCTGTTTTCAAACGGTATGTAAAAACTTAACATAAAAAGATTCTGGAGTGGAGGACAGATGGACTGTAATTGCTGAAGTCATGCGTCAAGTTATACAAATCGTTCGCGCGAAAGTGGACGTTTAAGAACGTGATTTTTGCACTGTGACTGGCCTACTACCGAATATACGAAGTCTAGCAGAAATTTCTGAAAATGTCGGGCGGAGAGAGGAAGAAGCGAGGCGGCGATCGAGGGCACGGATGGGAGGAGGCCGGCGCCGAGTTCTATCAGGAGAGTTATCCCGTGGTCATGGAGGCGGATCTGCAACAGGCGCTGCAGAGGGATCCATCGCACATAGCGACTCTACTTCCGAGCAAGAAGTCCCGCGTCGGTAGGTTCACACCGCTTCGTGACAGTGCAATTGAGACAGGCTTCGCCAGTCGAGATTTCCCATGTCTTTACACTCGTGTCTGTTTCCCGACGCAGCCACGGCGAAACGAATTCGCAACGACACGAAGACCACGCTGCGGAGGCGTACGAGCACCAGATCCCGCGGCACCACGACCTCGAGGCGTATGTCGACCAACATACACGACGCGGCTGTGTCGATGCTGCCGGATCTGTCGGAGAACTTGTCCAACGAGGAGCGCACCTGGGAGGAGATTATGCAGATCAAGGCCATGCCCGTGTGCATGTCTCAGAAGATACAGTTGAAGAATCAGTTGCAGGTATTTTGAAAAACACTGGACACCCGAGGGGTAAACCGCTGATTGAAAATTATGTACATCTGTGGACATATTGGTGGCGAAACTTTTTTTTTTTAATAGGTTTCGAAACGCACTAATATTTCACAAATGCGAACCATGATTGGGGTACTGTCTCTAAAAAGATAGTACACCATTGTGGTTCACATTTGCAAAATATTAGTTACCTATAAAATATATATTATATATATATGTATATTATATATATTATATATATTAAAAACTTATGAAAAAAAAGTGTCGCAACCGATATGTACACCAATGCCTAGTAATGCCTAAGGTAATGCCCAATTTCTGACCGACCGTAATGCCCCACGAATAACATCGTGATGGCGCAATCTTATTATTTAGCGTAATTTATTTAATATTCACACTTTATTACGTGTTGTAATTATGTTTGACATTAAACAATTGTTTAAAAATAAAACATAATAGTGCTAAGTAATGCTCAAGAAATGCCCAGTAATAGCCTAGCAATGCCTCAACGGTTTACCCCTCGTGGACACCCTAGTGACAAATGTAACTTGTAGCGTAACTTATTCGTGTTTTCTCAGAGTGCTACGAAACTGAGACTTCAGGGCTTCGAGCAGCTGAAATGGCAGCGCAGGAAAGCTTGGCAGCAGTTCCGCATCAGGATGAAGGAGGCCTGGTCCAAGATGGAGCTGTGGAACGACAGTCTCAAGAAGATAGGCGGCAACTTCGGGATGGGCATAGTAGCGTACTTCTTATTTATCAAGTGGCTGATGTATCTGAATCTGCTCCTGTTCGCGATTATATTCCTGCTGATCGTACTGCCGGCGATAGTGCTGGAGGTGCCGGAGAGCGAGGCGTGCACGTCGAGTAACGCCGCCAGCGTGGCCTGCTGCTCCGAGTTGTACAGGAATAAGACCAACGAGAGTAGCAGCACTATCACCAAGATCGTGCAGGACGGCGGTATACTGGAGTACACCCTGCTGTTCTACGGCTCGTACACGCACAAGATCTACGAGAGTGTAGGCGCCAATTTCTACTACAACTCGCCGCTGGCCTACGTCTGCGCGATCGTCGGCGTCTTCGTCGTCAGCCTGGTGGCGATCGTACGTTCGGCCGCCAAGGGTTTCCGCGAGAGAGTCGTCGAGGGCGAGGGCCAGTTCTATCGGTACTGCAATTTGATATTCGGCGGCTGGGACTACTGCATCAACAACGAGAGATCCGCCTCCATAAAGCACAAGGCGTTGTACAACGAGATGAAGGCGTTTCTCGAGTCGGAGAGGCTGGAGGAGGAGCGGCGAAACCGCACGCCGGAGGAGGAAACGAAGCTGTTCTTCATGCGTCTGTTCGTCAATCTGTTAATCGTCACGGTACTGATCGGCTGCGGCTTGCTCGTTTACTACATAATCGACTTCTCGTTCACTCACCTGTCGGCGCGTTTGGCGAAAGACTACGAGATATTCAATCTCTTCTTCGAATTCCTTCCGTACATATGCATCGTCGGGCTCAACGTGGCGGTGCCGTTCCTCTTTCGCTATCTGGTCGCCCTCGAGCATTACAATCCATCGTACGTCGTCGAGGTGACGCTGTACAGGACCATGTTCTTCAGATTCGCCTCCCTCGCCGTCCTACTGACGTCTCTGCACGCGCTCGTCGCGGGCAAGATTCCGGACAACGAATGCGCCAACAGGCAGAACGAGCAGCCGCTGTGCTGGGAAACGTTCGTCGGGCAGCAGTTCTTCAAGCTGTACACCACCGACATCTTCATCCAATTCTTCATGACGTTCTTCATCAACTTCCCGCGCTCGTTGATCGCGCGTCACACCGAGAACAAGGTCCTGCGCTTCGTCGGCGAGCAGGAGTTCGACCTGCCCAAGCACGTGCTGGACATCTTCTACTCGCAGACGGTCTGCTGGCTCGGCTGCTTCTTCGCCCCGTTGCTACCCATGGTCGCCGTGATCGGGACGTTCCTGCTGTTTTACATCAAGAAATTCACCTGCCTGGTGAACAGCACGCCGTCGAATAGGATCTACCGCGCCAGCCGGTCGAATTGCCTGTTCATGTTCAACCTGCTGCTCTCCTTCGTCCTGGCGATGATACCGGTCGGCTACGCCATCGCGGCGATCATGCCGTCGAAATCGTGCGGGCCGTTCCGAGGATTGGAGTCCGTGTGGTCGCTGTTGGTCGCGCAGTTCTCGCAGTTTCCCAACTGGCTGCAGTCGACCCTGTGCTTCCTGGGCACGGCCGCCTTCGGCGTACCGGCGTTCGTCATTCTCTCTCTGCTCCTCTATTACTATTACGTGATGGGATTGGCGAACAAGCACATGGTGACGGTGCTGAAGAACCAGCTGGTGTTGGAGGGCCACGACAAGCAGTTCTTACTGAACAGGCTCAGCGCTTTCATCAAGCAGCAGCAGGATCAGAACAAGTTTCACCAGGAGCAAGCCAACGATACGTTTCAACATGTATAAATAGTACGTAACTTGATTTAATATTTCGATCTTATGGATGTACAAATTTAGCGAAAACACTTTTACTGCGCCGAACCGACGAGTGCGTCGGTTCGAGTTGATTCGAATGTACCACTTGACGTTTTGCTTGAGATTTTTATAGGTTTTTTTTTTTATAAGTTTTACTTGTGAAACATAAGACTGTCGACTTTACATTATATTCTTCTTTATATTATATTATACACGAGTGGCACTTATACGATAGTTTTTTGATATTCTACCGAATTGGGGATAAAGGCTGTACACACACCAGACGACAAGGAGCGGGGACAATACCAAAAAAAAAAAAAAAGATTAACACGTATCTTACACACTGCCTGTTGCAGTGTCTTGCATTTTATATAAACTGATGCTTTTTCGAGACTTGAATGTATTACAGTCGCAATCACTGCCACGAACGTTAGTTTCCGCGATCAAGTCTTTAGATCAGTTTGCAGGAACTTCAGACGGGACATATCTACACATTCTAGGAAATCCAATCGTCTCATGTATATGAACAAGGAAAAATGCACATCCGAGATCAGGGTACAAAGAAGAAGAAGAAAAAAAGAAAAAAAACGGCGTTGTGCAAGTATTGTGCAATAGTAAGGGAAATCGTGAATTGTTTGAGTATTCATTAATTCCGTATATAATTTCACGGATAAATCGCATAGAGTCGCGCACGTATTAAAGAAAATCTACTTTAGAATGTAATCTTCGTCGGGAATGATATAGGTATTATAAGCTAATGTGATCATATACATGTCTAGCTTTAAAGAGATTAAAATCGGGCGAGCGTTCGAATCTGCCTGTGTCTGCCATTCGTGGGCGGGAATCTTCCTAGTTCGCCTAATAGGCTTCGTTTTGCTGGCCTCCAAGTCTAACATCGAACAGGCAGGATGATTCTCACCCAATTTATATATATTCACACACACCCACACACACACACACACAAGTGATTGAATTATGTTTAGCTGAATATACGAACAACAGCGACAAGACTAAACGTCCCTCTATACGGACGGACATTACTTCCTCAAATTTACAATTTAAAGCAGTTAGAGAGCTTTTGCATGAATGAAACGAAATGACATGCAGCGGACCTATTTTCTAGCGTAGTTCCTTTAGATTCTTTAGAAAGATCTGTAATGTTACTCTGTAAATAGGTCCTCTAGAACCTACGAGAAGTTATTTTACTAGCGATGTCTATATACATAGTAAGCGTCAGAAAGGGAAGAGTCAGAAATATTTTTATTATATTTATTATTTCGTTATCGAGGCTTTAATAATTTAGGGTGTAGGAAAACGAACGAATGTGTAAGAGTTTTTGCAATTCCATATATATATATATAAATACATTCAGGATTTTTTTTTAACCGTAGAAATCTCGTATACCTCAGTATTGTTATACATATAACGCCAAAGATAATTCAGATAATTGAGACTGTAACAATTTATTTGTTTCATATATATATCCATTTACGCGAGATATTGTGACCGAATGTACTTCGTTTAATTAGGATACGAACACTTTCACGAATTATCACTACGACTCTCACGTCAGATGTGAAAATGTTTTCCATTTTTAGCGTTTAGAGATCAATTCTGTGAGCATCGTGCGCACGATACATGCTATCGCAAATCGATCAGATTCTTTGGCCTAAACAATTCAATGCACATACCGAAAAAAAAAATGTATTTTGTAAATCTCACGTTTGTATAACTAAGATAGCACGTACGGGGATGCTCAGAACACATCCTTAATTTATTATATAGATGTCAGAAGCTATCGACGGCACCATATAGATGCATTTAACATAAAATTAAAATATAAAGTATGAAATATATAATCTTAAACGTAAAACAGATTTACGCCTCCCGAGAGAAGAAACTGCAGAGCGCATTTATGATTACCATTATATTAAACGAAACAATGAAGCGTCTCCACGAATATAATAGAAAGCTCCGTTTCTGCGAAATGTCGCTGCTAATTAGGCTATAATAATACCCACCGCTGTATCTCTCTCTACGCATTTTAATCATAGATTACATGGTCATTATTTGTGGCGTAATCATCTAAACTATGATGCTGTAAAAATAAATCTGTTATACAAAATATGTGCCTTTATTATCTCTCTTTTCTGTAGAAGTATAAAAATATGACATCCGACAAGAGCACACATATATTCTCTCTCATATCCTGTTAAAGTAATTCTCTTTTTCCGTTTATGTTTCTGGCGAGTGTAACTGAAAATCATTAGAGAAATTTATTAGAGCGATAAGCGTTGGTGGATACACATGTTATAAAACTTGTGGATGCGAAGGAACTTACCACTTTAGCTATGTCGACCCAATCTAAGGCTGCCGCGAAAGCGTCATTCTTGGATGGTATTCTGTCATAATTCCAATACGTGAACTGCGAAAAGGTTCCCGTGCAATACAAATTCCTCTCCTTATTCTCCACATCTGCCTTTTTGTTCTCCATAAATATCATGCCTTTGTACTCAGCAGGTACGGCTACCTTTTTCCCTTGAAGCGGATAGCCACGGAAGGAACACTCGTAGTCTTTAAACAATCGAATGACAAATTAATATCGTAAATTCTCTTTTGATTTCTCTTGATTCGCTCCATTACTTCAATTGTTATGTATACATTTAATTAACGTGTCATGTAAGCTACAAGTTAAACAGAGTGATAGAACAAAAAGAAATGCGATAAAGCATTAATTTTAGACTAGTTTTACATTTAATTCGCTTTCAACATCGAATAAATATGTACCGGGGAGATTTCTTTTACTCACTCACATTCCTCATCTACCCTGCAAACGTAAGGCTTGAAAAAGGAGGAAACATTCGCAGCTTCGTCCCCATGAATTTTACACGGCATGAAATGCAACTCGGACCCGTCTCGATCAGCTAGATCTTTGCCGTTGACGTGCAATCGTGTCACCATGTTAATTTAATGCGATGCGAAGTAATTAATTGTTTAACTCCGAAAAATGTTTGGCTTAACCTTTATTCTGTATACATACAAACTAACCAAGTAACCACAATAAAGCACGCCGAGCACGCCGCAGCCCGCATTAGTGAATTTGGCGCCAAAGAATCGTTCTCTCTTCTGCTCTCTTCGCAATGGTATTTTTAAGTTACCAGATTTCAAAGGTAGGATTTCAAGAATTACCAGACACGAAATACATTCGTTTTCAATTATGATACATTACTTTTCGCTCAATTTATTTAATTTGTGTTTTAAAAGAAAAAATATTATGAGGGATATTAAAATTATTATTCTTATTTTCATATCGTGGCAGAAAAAATTTTTTAGGATTATTATTATTATTAAGAATTAGGAAAATTATAATTAAGGATCTTGAATTATGCTTGCAAGCATACGATATTGCTCATTTGGATATATTTTTACATCATACAATGCGTGATCCGATACAAAATTTAAGTGACTTGATTTACAGTCTTCATACCTCGCTTTATAAATTAATTTCGATACGCTACTTCCAACAGTCGAACAAGTACATATATTTACATAGTTATTGTATCTCCATTATATTCGATTTGCATAGAAAAACAGTAGTTTATATATTTATATAAACGTCTAAATCAAATAATGATGAAACCGAAAGCTGTCGTTCGCAAGAATGGCGCTTCACATACGAAAAAGAGATAAATAATAATTTCTACCTTAACGCAATGTTTACAATTTCGAATTGTTAGCTAGCTGTAATCTAAAAAAAGTTACATAATTCTTCAACAGCATTATTACTATAAATATTCCGAAACTCAGACATTTTATGAGACCAAAGTTACATGTGTGAGTATAGTATAAGCGTAAGTGACGGCGAGCATAATCACCAGAATAATTATTTAAATATCTCGTAACTTTCTGTTTGTCTCTTCGCGAGAAACCTTCACTATCGTTAAAAGTATATACGCAAAGTGGCATCTTCAGTATTGTCTGCCTCTGCCCCTGTTGTAGCCGCCGCGTTGATAGCTGTTCCCACCAGAATTATTGGCACCTTGATTCCATCCACCTTGAACTCTACCTCCCCTTCCTCCTCCTCCTCCTCCTCCCCCGCCATCCCTTCTATTATCCTGATAATAGTTCCCGCCGCCTCGATTGTCACCCCCGTACGAGTCCCTCTGGCCGGAATACTGCGGCTGCTGATAATTCTGACCATAATTCTGACCATAATTCTGACTGTAACTTTGACCATAATTCTGACTGTAGTTCGCGCCGGAATCTCCGCGATAGCCTCCACCTCCACCTCCACCCCACCTCCACCTCCACCTCCACCTCCTCCACCGCCGCCTCTCTGATAGCCTCCTCCTCCCCCGCCTCTATGATCCGGAAAACATTCTCTATGCCCAGAGTATTGAGATTGCTGATAGTCCAAATTCTGGCCAAAATTACTACTAGCGTCTTTATGATCTCGATAGCCGCCACCGCCGCCGCCGCCGCCGCCGCCGCCGCCGCCGCCGCCGCCTCTTCCACCTCCGCCTCTGCCGCCTCCGCGTCCTCTATCTCCACCACCGCCGCCGCGTCCACCTCCTCCTCTTCCGCCCCTGAAAGAAACAAAGAAAGATGTCTTGTAATGTTAAATACGTATATATACACGCACATACACCTTATCATTTTACTATCGCGCTTGATTATGAAATCCAGTCTATTTTATTAACCTATTACTATTTTATTAAACCAGCAAACGAAAATTAATCCAAAATTGAATTAATTGAAAATTGCAATTCATTTTAATTTATCCGAATTAGCGTCTTAGAGTCCGGAGATGCATTTCATTTGTTATTATTACATTATTTTTGGATTCAAATAAATTGAAATGCGAAATGAGCTATTCATGTTGAATTCGGATTATATTCATACCTGTATTACATTCTTTTTTAATTGAAATAAATTGAAATACAAAATGAGCTATTCATTGAAATCTGATGTATTCATGTCGATTTTATTATTTTCGGATGCAAATCGATTCGAAAATGTCGAAATAAATGCATTTCCATGCATTTAAATTCATTTTCGTTCGCTGGGTTAACTTACTGGAATGACGACGGTCCTTGAACTCTGTCCTTCTGCCACGGCGGCATCTCCGGCGGCGGTGGTTCCTGCTCGTACGGTCTACCACCTCTGTCCGGCACCGCTCCGATAACGACGCTATTGATTTTACTTCGTGTATTCTTGCGCACACTCGCGTTGCTCGTTTTCTCGATCACCGCTAGATCGTCTCTGGCCGCCAGTAAATCGACCAGTGTCACTTTAGGTTCGTTTTTCAGAGTCTTTCTTCTCTCCTCGTATCTACGATTTACTTCAGTCTCCTGCGACTTTATCCTATCAGACCACTGCAAGCGAAGTTGCATAGTTTTAAATAAACTGATCGTCAAGTAAATATATATAAAGATATGTTTTTTTTAAATTCATGCATTCGCTCTCTCACCAAAAATGATTGGACTGTAACGTCAAGGCGTTTGAGCAACATTTCACGACGAATTATGTATTCCTTGTGCATTTCCTCCTGCAAATTACCTAGTTGCTCCCACTGTTTAGCGGAGAGCTCGACATCTATAAGTGGTTTATCTAGATGAAATGGTACAGTCTTTAGAACTTCTAACAATTTAGTTTCTAGTCTTGAAAACAACGTCTCGGGCGAAATATTGTCCGGCGGCTTTTGAAACTTCAGCATGACTAGCATATTTTTCAAGCTTCTCGCAGTGTCACTTTCATCCTGCGCAAATATAAAATATATGTACATTAGTTCAAATTTAGAATTTCTTTCAGTAACGTCAGTTAAACGCGATTAAAATTACTGTAGATACTTACAATAGTGACTTCCATTTGTTTCTCCTCCTTAGGACATTTGACCTCCAATAATTTACAAGCCATAAGCTCCGCCGCTAGAAATTCTATCAGGATAGCTCGTTCAGATTCGTTGGCTAATCTTTGATTCATATGCCCAGTCATCAGTTTCTCGTTCACGCATCCTATTTCCTTAAGAAAGAAGCTTAACTCTAAGAGAAAGGAACTAGCGTCGTCCGGGCTGGACGTGGCATTAACGGTCTCGTCCGTCTCTACGAATGTCGCCAGTTGCTCGGCGAGCCAGCTTACGAGACCGGTGAAATTCGGCGATTTTGCGCCAAGTTTCAGGGCTTCCGACAGCTTGTTGGTGTCAAGCATCGGCCCGGTGTACCTGTAATGGGATAAATGATTAAAAGTGCATTCCTTCAGCAGGAAATTTCAACGTAAGGAACGCGAGGTTTATTGTTGTAATAAAAAAAATGCAAACAGTCTGGCCTTATTATTTTCCACATGAATCCCAGGTAAATCCTTGGCAATGTCATCTTCGACTACTCACCCAACATCTTGGAGCATCTGCAACAGCTTGTCCTCCATGTCGGCCGTGCGTCTCCCCCGAGGATTTCGGATGTTATGAAGCGGGACAATAAGCGGGACAATAATATATCTGTCGTGCACGTGTTTACTTGAAAATTAATGCAGAGGCAAGCTACGCATGAAACGTTTCGCTACCTCGATTCCCTTAGTTCCTCGTCGATTCAGTGCACGGAACCGGGTACCGGTTACCCCTCGCGCTTTGACACAGATCAAATTGCACAATAAGAGGAAACAGATCGAGACATAACCTGTTTTCAACGCTGCGTATTCTTAAGCTCCGATCATAGAGCGGAGCACAGTCAAGTGAGATAAGCTCTGACAAGCGCCGCCCAAGCAGAGAGCGGCCATCCCGGCCAGGCCTTCTACGTCAGAACCCCCACCCAAGTATATTTTCATTCGAAATCCGAATTGCAATTTTTAGAAATTTATTAAAACTCTTGGAAAATTCTTGGAGCTAAGTAGTGCAATTTCCTTGCAGATTGTTTGTTCGAGATCCTTAATTTGATCTTCTCGATTCAAGATACCAAAATCTGTGGAATCGACTCTTTCAACTTATTCCCTTCCGTAAAGAGCGACAGAGATTGGCGCGTCTCTCTTTATCGGGCGTTTCCGTGAGAGATCGGAGTTACGTCGTGCCGTGGTGTCGCGACAACTCCGATATCCGCCATTTCGGGCGATTCGTCACGACCCGTCAGATGGCGCGGCGCTAGCGCGTGCAGTTGCAGTCGTTCCGTAGGCGTCATCATGGTGCGTAGGCCAGTGGAGCGTTTCTGAGGGTGAAGCCGAGGGGAGTTTTGTTTTGAATCGATAACGACGCGGGGGGGGGGAGTGCTCGCGCTCCCGCGGTGGTGCTACGCCGACTCGTCCCGGGCACGCCGAATTCGTCCCGACGACGCACCCGGCGATGACGACGCGACGCGGCAGCGGTGGTGAGCGTTGTCGCGAGACGACCGTCTAGAGCCCCGAACGCGGCGGCGGACTCTCTGGTACGCGGTGGTGCGTGTGTGTGTGTGTGTATACGTTGCTCGCGCGCGCGCTGCTGTGCGTGTACCGTGCGTATTGTGCGCGCGATGTCGTGGTGCCGCTCGAGGAGGCATCATCGCGGCCACGACCACGCGCGGCGACGACTCGGCGGCGTCGAGCGGAGACGGAGCGCCGCGTTCCTCCTGGTCGCGTGCGCGCTCGTCGCGCTGTCGTCGTGCGTGCCGCCGACCTGCGCCGAGCCGAGCGGCGACAATACCGCGGACCGCTGCCCGGTCGAGTGCTCCTGCCTCGGCAACCTGGTCGCCTGCAGCGAGCTGCAGCTGATCGAGGCACCCAGCGGACTGCCACCGTGGACCGAGATCTTGTGAGTAAACGACGCCGTGGCCCCTACCGGCGGCGAGGATGGCATTGGCTCTGTGTGTTTACGCCGCGCTACGTTTAGCCCGCGACTCCTGTACTCCGTATTCATCCTGAACACGAGCATGACGATAAACTGCAGTTTAGCCATCGTGTAAAATTTAGGTCGAATATGGAATACAGGTCGCGGACCAAATTTACGGTGTAAACACAGTCATTGTTGGGACAGCCTTTCGTTGCCTTTGTATGTATATATGGCAAATGGTGCTCGGTTACCCCCCCCCCTCCCCCCTGCGAGATCTGTTAGGTTCCACAGGGGATGCGTCTTGGAATGCACGTGAAGTATATACGTTCCAAGTTCTTGGGAACTCGGGATAAAGGTATATAACAAATGCTCTTTTATATCTACCTACACATCGAAAGAGGCTGTGAATCGCAGGAGGAGTATAAGACCTGGCCTATGTAATATGAGTTAACGCAGATAAGATAGAGGAAGAATTTATAACAAAAATAGAGAATAATCATTGATACCTGTGATTTTACAATCTCTGAAGGCTATCAGATTTTTACAATTGTACCTCTCTTTTACTTTCAAGATAGTTTGAAGGACCGAGAAATAATATTTAATATTAAATGATAATTTACCGTTTGAAATCTATTTCTTGCTTTATCTGTAATTTTTTTAGTTAACGACACTAATTAAATACTAATTAAATAGTCATTTATTAAAGCGGACAGCAAGTGTAACTGTAATTTTTATTTTACAATATACTTTATAAAGATTTCTAACAAAATTATAATTTAATGACAAAACGCGGTAGTCTGTATATTAAGGTGTCGATTAATAATCCACTTGTTTATGTCTCAAATAAAAGTTCACGAGCGGCGGCTGTTTATGCAGCAATTTATTATTTATTGGATGATAGCAGTTATTACCCTATATTGTTTGGAAGAGTCAAATTGAGGGGGAGTAATATTGCTTGTTATGGCTGCATGTGGGTCGCTTGTCCCTTCACTAAATGGTCAGATTGATGAAACTGGCTCCACAGACACACGGCCAGGTTTCTGTAGCCATATAGGGTGCTAAGTGTGATGATGACTGATTGTTAAGTCCTTCCAATGCTCAGAGTCAAGGATAGCAAGCTCTCTAAGTAGGAAAGATTCATGTCTATGCTATTTAAGGTATTAAGATGTATAGTTAGCTACAGCATTCCTGCTTTGTACAAGGTGCATCTAAAGAAGAAATGCCTTAAGCAGAATTATTTTCTGTATAGAGTTGTGAAAAGAATTCTTACATACTTGTATTTATATTATAAAACTTATCACTATAACTATAAAATGTTGAAATAGTTCAAATTTATCAGACTATACATTAATGTGTTTGTATTAATATTATATCTTAATATCTTATAAAAAATTGAAAACAGATTACTCCTATTTTTTATATTATAATACACAGGATGTCTCAGAATTTATTTTGTGTGTATATTCACATAATATTTATCTATCTTTAAACGATTCAGTATCTTATAACTTTGTAATAAAGCATTTTTAGCCACATTTAATATATATATTTTTTACTTCCACTTATAAAATAAATTGCCATAGTTTGTCTGTTAAACTCTATCCTGAGGTATCCTGTATATATATTTTGTTTGTTTGTTTATTTATTTATTTATTTACATAATATTTTTTTTATTTTTCAGAGAGCTAAAGAACAACAATATTGCTAACTTGGAATTTGATTCATTGCTTCATTTAACAAAACTCAAAAAATTGTAAGAATTATATTATCTGTAACATTTATTATTTAAAGGCAAAAATATTTATATATACATATTTGTCTGTGATTTCAGAGATGTAAGTGCGAATAAACTCGGAGATAATTTTATTATTGCCTTGTCAGACGTTGCACAATTACGCGAACTTAAAGTGAATAAAAATCACTTGACGCAAGTGCCAGAGCTTGTATTTGTTAAGAATATTACTCATCTTTCACTGTAAGTACTCCACATGTGTTATAAACTGGAAAGATTTTTTTCGATGTAATCTGATATGAATCAACTTGGTGAATCAGCAATTATCAACATTGTAATTTTTCTTTTGCAGATCCCACAACTTAATTACTAGTATAAATGGGACTGCGTTGTTTAGTTTACAACAGCTTCAATACCTGGATCTCAGTGGGAATAAAATAAGTGTCCTTCGAAGGGGTTTCTTCCTCGCTCCTAATCGAATTACGCATTTGTATGTATTTCAGCCGTATCTCTTAGAAATCTATTGCATCAGATGTCAATTCCGTTGTCTAATGTTTTTAAATTTGAAGGAACCTAAATGCAAATCACATAAGGATCATCGAAAATGGAAGTTTGGATAATCTAACATCACTGGAGGAACTCCGTTTAAACAAAAACAATTTGACACAGCTGAAAGATCTTTGTGTGAATCTTACAAAATTGCGAATATTGTAAGCATTTATATATACTTTTAACATTTATCTGTCACATTTATAGATATGAAATATTACAGAAATAGAACAATATCTTCGATTGTTATCTAAAATTATCTAAATCGTGCGTGATATTATTACAGGGAGGTGAATAGAAATAATTTGCAACAAATACACGGATTAAGTCTGAAAAGTTTGACTAGCCTGAAGGAATTGTACCTAAAAAGAAACAGAATTGATACGTTAGACGATGGAGCTTTCTGGCCGCTTAAAAACTTGGAGCTGCTACAGCTCGACTTTAATATGCTGACCACCATAAAGAAGGGAGGCTTGTTCGGATTGGATCATTTGCAAAAGCTGACCTTGTCGTACAATCGGATCTCAACGATCGAACCTCAAGCATGGGACATATGCAAAGAGATAGTAAATCTGTTAGTAATATTTTTACAATTGCACGATTTTTTACAATTTATCGTCTCTCCTTGTTGCAAGCACTACAGCATTACATTATTCGTGTGATTCTAAATTCTTTTATCCTTATTTTAGAGACTTGTCGCACAATCAGTTGACTTCTATAGAACGTGGTTCGTTCGAATATCTCACGAGGCTCGAGAAACTTAAGCTGGATCACAATCAGATCACACACGTCACGGAAGGCGCATTCAATTTCACGCCAAACCTTCGTATCCTGTACGTTTCATATAAATATTACTTAATGTTTGCTTCATATGAATATTATTGTGTTCAACAAACGCTGTCTTGCTTTAAAGGGAACTCAATTCAAACAAGATATCCTACATGGTGGAGGATATCAGCGGCGCACTCTTCTCACCGCTCGGTCAGTTGTGGAAGCTGGGCTTGGCGCACAACAGAATAAAATCCATAAATCAAAACGCTTTTACCGGCCTGAGTAACGTTGACGAGCTCGACTTAATCGGAAACAACGTCACGTCCATTCAAGAAAACGCGTTCCTTTCAATGTCTAGTCTGAGAACACTTAAGATGAACACCGGTAAGTTCAAGTTTTACATTGTATACTAAATATATAAGTGCAGAGCACAATTGTATTTTATTTCTATTTTTTTCTTTAATTATCCTTTTTATTTACACATAGGGGCCTTGGTTTGCGACTGTGGACTTCAATGGCTGAGCATGTGGCTGCGGGAACATCCTTACAGCGAAGCCGAGCTGCACTGCGGTTATCCGCACTGGTTGCAGGGCATGTCGTTAACTCAGTTACATCACGCAAATTTCACTTGTGGTTAGTAATATATTGCAAAAGTTTTTGTACAATTAAATTCTATTAAGTAATTTGTACTTTGCACGGTACATTATTTTTTTGTAATTTCGCGTCCTCGATTGAATTTCCTCTTTGTTGCCTTCGTAGATGAGTATCCAAAACCACGGATCATTAAAGAACCTGCGAGCCAAATGAGCATCAAGGGAGACAATGTGAAATTGGTTTGTCGCGCAACCAGCACCGCTGACACACCGCTCCAGTTTACCTGGAAGCATGACAACGTGGAGTTGAACGACACGAATCTGCAGACCAATCTCAGCTCCTCCGAGAGCGGAGTAACCGAGGCGACGTCCGTTTTGCACATTACTAACGTTACCCATTCTAACGCGGGGAAGTATCAATGCATGGTAACGAACACTTACGGAACTACGTACTCGGCCAAAGCCAGACTGAGCGTGTTAGGTAAACTAAACATATATTCACACTGTCAATTGTTCTACCTTATATATATATTTATATATATATATATATATATTAACAACTCACTTTTAGATAAAGATTTTAATATTTACATGTTGTTCTCTGCACAGTTTATCCGTCGTTCTCCAAAATTCCGCGCGATATACGAGTGAATGCTGGAAGCACCGCCCGTCTGGAGTGCTCTGCCGAGGGACAGCCATCCCCGCAGATAGCCTGGCAGAAGGACGGTGGGAACGATTTCCCAGCTGCGAGGGAAAGACGGATGCACATGATGCCGACGGACGATGTGCTGTTCATAATAGACGTGAAAATGTCCGACAGCGGAGTTTACTCGTGCACCGCGCAAAATCTGGCTGGCCTTATCGTTGCGAACGCTACCCTTACTATACTAGGTGATGATCACTTTCCAACGCCCTTTCTCAAAGCTAGTCTCGAGAAAGTCCTTCTTGAAGTATGAAAATTATTCTCAAATGTGTTTTCTTTTTAGAAATACCGTCCTTCGTAAAACCGATGGAGAACAAGGAAATAATGGTAGGCGGCTCGATTGTGCTCGAATGCATGGCCAGCGGCTCGCCACGTCCGAAATTGTCGTGGCGGAAGAACGGTAGTCCGCTGCAAGCGACGGAGCGTCATTTCTTCACCGCGGAGGATCAGCTTCTGATCATCGTCAACACGATCGCCAGTGACGAGGGTAGCTACGAGTGCGAGATGAGTAATTCGCTGGGCTGCGTCGTCGGCGCGTCGCATCTCACGGTCAAACCGGGTAATTTTATTAAATAATACAATTGAAGGATTTTAACCGAGGGGTCAACCACTGCCAAAAAAATGTACAGTGATTGCTAATTATGGCAATACAGCACACTTTATTGCTAGTATTGCTATTGTACTGCTTTCGTATTGTCAGTAATATTGCCATCTATTATCTCACGTACTGCCACATATTGCACAATATTTCCAAAGAAATGTACACCGATTCCCATAGTGGTTCACCCCTCGATTTTAACGAAAGATTCCTTCTCACATCTAACATTGCAACTTTTTTTATATTTTATAACCAGCCCCCGTTTCCACATTGAACGAATCCGAGATACTGGGTCTGATAGTGATAACCGTGGTTTGTTGCGCCGTCATTACCTCCGTGGTCTGGGTGCTCGTGATTTACAAGACCAGACGCCAATTAAATCCCACGCAGGACACTGGCGCGCAACCAGCGGCGACCGTTATAGTGACCGTGCCGGAGGTTCAAACGCAGCTGTACCTGGACACGAGCTCGCAGCACAGCAAAGACAGCGGGACCGGAGACAGCACTAATCCCAGCAACGATCAGCTGCAATTGTGCTTACCCGGTAAATAATTTTTACATTGTTAAAATCTGTATAAATTTATTGTTTTCATCATAAAACCGCAATTTTCCCCAACGTGATTTTATGTTTAATATTAATAGGCTGTTAATCTTTTATTCTTATATCTTTTATCTTTTATTCTCATATCTTTTATTGATTATTATCTTAAATCTTCTTTTATTGATCTTATATGTTTTATTGATTATTAGCGTGAATAATTTTTATGTCTAACAGAAGAGGTCGTGACAAGCTCTGCCAATAATGACGAAGAAATGGGAACTATAAACGCCAACGATCCTCTCCTGCGTTACACGAACCACGAGCGACATGCGAGCGAGAATGCCGATAGCGCGGTCTGAACGGGAGACGCGAGCCGAGGGTAAGCGGAGTTAACGCGTGCGTGTAGTTTGCGTTTCCGCAGCAGAGTTGAGTATTCGTGAACGCGGCTGATCTTTAAATCAGGATATAAATATTCTGCAAAGTCGTGTACATTAGACGAGCCATAGTATTATGAGGAGCAAGGACTTCACCGGTCCCGCTGTCTAAAAAGTGACCTACAAGTGGACGTTGATCCCCGCGACAGTCCAAATACACAAACGGGAGTATTCGTTACCTACCGGCGTAAGAATGGATCAGCGAATCACGGCATAAGTACAAGCGTAAGGGACGATAGCGAAAAAACACTTACATGTAATCGTCATCGTATTTATTATTGACGCGACACACTCGTTCAATCGACATCGCGAGCGATATGAGCTGTAAATAGTTAAACTAAGATCCTATTATAAAAACTAGTATTATTACAGCGCGCGTCAGTGTCATTCGGCGTTTCCTGGAAATGCAACGCACTTCGTACATTTCTATCATACAGACAATTTTCCAGACACACGTGTGGTGTCCAAGCGAGAACGAAAATCTGTTATAGATTGAATTTTTTTTTTAAATTAGAATATAATATATGAATATTGTCTATTTAAAAATCTAAAATTCGGACAAGTTCAATTGATCTGCGATAGGTAGTGCTTGCTGAGCGTATCAGCGAAGATCGGTTAACGAATTACGTCGTTAAACACATTGAAACGCATTCATCATAGCGTGTAGACGTTTACTCGATCATTGTACAAGCGTTGCACCTTTCCCGAACACGACCGTTGCAATGCGCGCGCGCGAGGACATTGCTATAAACTATTGAAAGCCACAATATATTAGACCAGCCTTTGTGATAGATATTTATTCTAGTGTTACACATTGCGTAGGCGGCTATTTATGGATGTAGGAGAAAATATGAGAACAGAAACACGTCATTCTATTCTGGAGGAAAAAAAAACGCAATTGCTAACGGGTGGATGTATATTTATGCACCAAAGCGTTGACTTTAGGTACCTTGTTTTTTTTTTCTCTCTTACTTCGCAGTCGCGCGCGGACACCAAACCGCTATATATATATATTCTGGATTAATTTAATTCGTTTACTGATCAAAATGTTGCTCACTACTAATAGATACATTGTGTTCCAGATATGTAGGATCTTTTAGCTTTCGTAGGCATTTTCGTTAGTATTATTAATATCGACTAAGTTGAAACGCATACGAGCATGAGACTTTAACGGATAAATCTTCCAGATATTGTTACGTATAGTTGTCTTTGTTTTTTTTTTCCAGAGTTTGAGAGTAGTGTTTGTTGGAGACCTCGAGGTTCTTCAATATTATATATTATGAAAGGTGTAAAAATTTATTTCTCTTTTCCCTCGCAACTTCTACATTTGCATACGGAAATCTGTACGATTGTGAGACATTTGGACCGAAGCTTCTATTCTGAGTAGTGTTTGTTGGGGTCTCGAGGTTCTTCAATATTATATGTTATGAAAGGTGTAAAAATTTATTTCTGTTTTCCCTCGTGACTTCTACATTTGCATACTGAAGTCTGTATGATTGCAGGACATTTGGAAGCTTCTATTTTGTGACCAAGTAAAAACACTTTTTTAATTGATTGATTGTACTATCTCATTTTGCTTCATTACTCGGTCTTGAATATATGCGTCGTTATGGGATAAAATTATGTAATTATATATTTAATAATATTAATAGCTTTTTCTCGTAGTGTACTTGTGACAGTTTTTACTTATGGATATTTCGATTAAGGGATAATTCGATTGACATGTACGTTTTAAATTTACAAGTAACAGAATTTTTGAGGATGTGCTCTTTTAAGGAAAGAAATAAGAGGAGGAAGAGAGAGAGAGAGTGAGAGCCGAGAGTGATGATTAATAAAAAGGTTCAAATTGCGATAATACGCAAGTGATTAATATGAAAGTAAAAATTTCAACGAATGGCCTTTACCTTGCACCAAGCGGGTATTATTATTGGGAGAAAAACTTTCGCGATATATATAATCTATATATTTTTCTATGACTTATATATTGCAAAAGAATTGAAAAAAAAAATCACACTGAAATTCGCACAAAAGACGAAGAGCCAGTACTACTTCTACTACTTAATTAACTCGTAAACTCGCGCGATGTGAACTCCTTCCACGAATGATTACTCCTTATTTACGCAAGTGTCCGATAATATGCGCAGAGTATGATGTGCTCATTACAAGTAAAAATTCAAGTATTGTATAAAGTAATGAATAGTCCGTAATATTCCACTTATTTGTGTAACTCGTAATGTATATGTTTAAACTATATGCGAGAGCATGTTTTCGAGTAGGATTCGGAGAAGAAACTGAGAACATATATGTTTCATTAATGTAGTCTGTGTAGAGTTTTTTTTCTCCTTATCTAGTAACGAGTATTAAATTATGTAGTCAACGAAGAGAGAGAGAGAGAGAGAGAGAGAAAGATGCTCTATTGCGACATGGTTTTTTGGCTTGCGCCCGTGTGATACACCAAATAAGGCATCTGTTTCTCATTCAGTATTTTCCTTGTTATATAGTATTGTGTACAAATACAAATAATCATCTACAATGTATCCTTGTGCGTTGTTATTTACCCATTAAATATTAAAGCTTTAAAATCACTTACCTTACGACAAATTTTCTTCGAATATGTTAATGAAACGAGAGAGGAACGCATATTTCGGCATTAAAAATTAACTCTAAATTTACTCTATAATTTTTACTGAAATAGCTAACATTAATAAAGGCACCGAATAAATGGATATAGACATATATGAATGTATTTATATATACACTTTTCTTCTATCGAGATGAATGCAAAGATGATTGATTGCACATAGAATGATTCGTGCTCAAAGTGATCAATAAATTATTCTCCAGTTATTGTCAATTTTTCTAGATGCGACTGGATTAAAGGGTCTGTCTTCGTAGTGATCAGAGATAGAGAAAAACCAAATGCAATATACAGCAAAAATGTACCTACTTATTTCCAAGTATCACAATTATTCAAGTGTACATATATAATACATATATTCTACAATCTTGCTTACTTTCGAGATTTGTTGATCGCTCGTGTTTATCGCGCAGCTGAAATTCGCATTGTCTTTACATACAATAGTCAAAGCTTCCATTCATTTTTATAAAGAACGAACGAAATTGCTTGATTAGCGAAAGTTTAAAAAAATAAATAGATATAAGAGAAATTGCTTTCTTGATACATTTTACCAAGTAATATATGCATGTATTCTAAATTTATCCCTTAAAATATATAATTAAGAGTCGTCTATATAATAATATATAATTTTATCTATGTATATATAACATTTTTTGTGTTGCGAGAGATTAACGTTTCCCAATAATTCTTCCGAAAGCATTTGCATCCATTGCTTAATGCCGGATTACGTGAGAAATAAATTTCTATAAAGAAGGTCCTCGAGAATTCTTTCCTATCACGATGGGAAGAGGATCCATCGAGAATATTCGCTGACCGTCTCTCGCGATGCGAATTTCGCCGCGCGTAACGTACCTATACGCATTGAAATATAGGAACGCTTCCTTTGAGGTAGCACATCTCCAAATACGAGATATCGTTTTTATTTTCAATTCGATCCTCGTTACAAACGAACGTCGGACGCGCGCGATTCACAAAATTACCGTCGTACAAAGTTTAACAAATCTCCCTCGCTTACGTCTAACTGATGTCCGTATCAAAACTTCGTTATATGCAACCGCATCCTTATGGCGTCGCGTTTCAACTTCCACGCGTTACGATCGTGGTAAGGAATAAGAGCGCATGGAGTGATCGTCGAATTTAGTCCCTCCGACGGTTCCGTAAGCCGAAATTCCGAGACAGTCGCTCTCCCTCTGCGCGGAAGCGCGAGATAAATTCGTCATAATCACAAATTGGCAAAATTCAGAGCATGCATTCCGTTGCATCAAATAACTTTGCTCCTGACGACAGATCGCGTTGCGATAGGTTTTTTTTTTTAATTTAGACGATTCGATGACATCTCTCACGTCGGAGTCCCTTCTTTCGTCATTGCTAATCTTCTTTTAATATATTGTATAATTACGTACAAATGCGCGAATGGATTAAAATCAAGTTAAAACAGTTTGATGCAAAAGATTGCGTAATTAGAATGCTAAGAGACCTAAGTTGTACATTCTGAAAAAGACAGCTAGAAAGGAACTATTTACAGAGCGTACTCTCATGACAAAAAAAACGATGCACGCTAATGTTCCACGTTGCAAACATCTTCCTATCATTTTCCTCTGATTATCTTTTTCTTTTTTTTTTTTTTTTCATTGTCGTTGCTACATAAACGAAGATCCATTCGAGATCAAGATCGGCAATATCGATACATTCGAATGGACTATCTATATAGAAATGTATGTACTAATAATACTAAATTAAAACCTAGATTTCGCGGCTGAACGATTTAGAATATTTTCGGCCGATGAATTCTTACGTAATATTATTCATCCTAGATTCGCCGATCTGTCGCATCTCTTGGCACTAGGCGCTGCGTGTGATCCATGTACGCGCTGGCCGCAATAGTCTAAAAATAAGCAGACGGCAACAAGAGCAAGGATCACAGCAAGCACACGGCGCCAAATGCTCTATTTATAATATAAAGAGATCGGCGATATATTTTTTTTTTTCATCAAAGATCGCTCTATCAGCGACAGTTAAATCGACTGCATCTTCGTTTAATTTATCCGTTTTGTTCGCCCCGGGCGTTCCGTTAAAAATGCGTCGTGTACGGCAACTTAACAATCTGAAGAATCTAACGGATTCTATCTCTATTTGTGTATAAGTAATACAGATAAATATTTCTTGATCACGTAATTTCTCTAGATATCGTATAACATAAAAAGACTACATAAAAGAAGTAGGAGAGGAGATATTCGTAAATATTAGGTCGAGTTTTTCTTACTTATACACTGACACTAGTCAGATATTCTCTCGTGCGTTTCCCCCTGTTTACGTATATGAATAATTATTTACATTAGGTCGTATAATCTGTGGAACACATTCGCAACTGAGAAGTCCCGTACGATTCGTTAGAGGCTTCCTCGAACGCGTCGCAAAAGAAACACCAGGTACTTTCGTATCACACACTGGCACACAGAAGTAAGATTTGTGTTATATCATTTAACGCCCGTCTGTACGTTCGAAAACCGCGATATCCGCGACGTCGTCGAGAAACGCCCCATTTCGAAAACGATCGTTTTGAGTCATCGCGTACGCTTAGTAATACGTAACGAGTGAGAGAGACAAAAAGAAAGAGAGAGAGAGAGAGCAAAGTTAATACACACAGACGCAACAAACTGTACACTCCGCAGCTCTTCCGACAGCCCATAGAAAATAATTCTACTTAGCAGCCTTACTTTTTTTTTTATGCTAAACGAAATATAAATACCACGAGAAATCATGGAGTTTTGCTAAGAGTTTGCAAATAAAAACTAATTGAGCGCGTGTGAAAGCTCTGTCATAAGATTTGGCAAAGGAACTTTCAACCTGTTGTACATCGCGAAATTCATTCTAACGACTCCAAAGACGCAGATCAATTGTCGTACACAGCGCAGCTGATTTTTTTTTTTTTTAAACAGAACGGACGCGCCCGTGGATCGATCGCTATAGTATATATATGCGAGATAAACGTGCTCGCTCACGTATAAAAATATCAGCAAAAATACATCCTCAATAATTTATCTGTAATGTCGTCAATTATCTACATTTATCTATAAATTATACATATATATAATTATATATAATACGTATATATACACGGCATATGTATACATGTAACTGATATTATATATATAATTATATATTTTGTATATGCACACATATACATACTCATTTATATTTATAATTTTGTGATTTTCCGCTACACACGTAGCCACTCATGCATAAACCATCATGCATACGCGCCATTCTCGCGGGTTTACACACACGCAACCGCAGCTCACGCCTCCAAGATCCTGCGCGATCGTCAATCCTGTTCGCCGTTCGGTTTCGCAAGCTGGAAGACCTTGCCGAAGCGGTGTCACGCCACTCCATCCTCGAATGCATCTGCATTCTCTCTCACTAGTAGACGTTCCTCCACTTCTTGATACTCCGCGCCGATTCTCCTCTTCCTGCGAGTGTATTCTGCATTCGACGTCTCTCGCAACGTCTCTTCATCCTTACGTCGTACCGATTCCATCCTGATGCTTCCTACTGATGTCGTTCTTCTTCTTCTTCTTCTTCTTTCTTCTTTCTTCTCCTACATATGTGCGTGTACTTCTGCTTCCACTAGTCATGTAACAAGTCGATATTCGGTCTAGAACAACGAACGGTCATCAATCGTTGTTCATGTCCTTCAACTCGGTGTACGCGATCCGCTTCCGGTACAGGTTGCTACCGCTCGACAGCACGTTCCGCTTGTTCGGCATCGTCGACGGACCGGGCACGTAATAATGTCGCCTCTTGTACATGACCAATCTGCGAAGGAAGAAATTAAGTTAAGATATTTGCACGGCGATTAATTTCTTACGAAAATATACATATATGGATTAAACGAAGCTATTGAACGGGCCTGTCTTATTATAAAGAAGTAATACAATATTGAATAATAGTCTTTGATTAATAATCATCGTCCATCTGCGTGCATTGTTTTTTTTTTGTAATTCTGTGATCAGATTTCGATTACGATTATTATAATAAATTATATTGGAAATTGCAATTATATTGGAAATACCAAAATTTCTTTGTAAAAAGTTTTATGCGTTAATTCTCTTAAATATTACTATCGATTACTAATATTAGTGATAATTAAATCGATAATATTATCGGTGCAATTTTACAATTTTCGTGCGGAGCACCTGAATCCCTCTCTTTCGGTTTCCAAAAAAAAAAATATGTACAATTTATTCGAAACACACAAAAAAATCTATTTTCCTTTCAAAATAAAAATTTCAATTGTATTTGTCAAACATAAATTCACTTTGAAATATCGTCAAGTTCTCACATAAATTTAAATAAATCCTCCCGTGGTTTTCACAGGAACGATCTCACTTCCACAAGTTTTTGTCGCGAAAAAATGTACCACAATTTTCCTTTTTCCTCTTAATTTATTGTATTAATGAACTAAGTAGTCTTCCACTCTCGAAAATGTTTTCCCTCTCTACGCGCGGCACCGCGCGATCCGTTCGTCTTCGCGTCTTCATCAACAACGCGAACGGCATCACGATCGATGCGTACGGGACTACCGCATTTTATCAGTTACGATCGCAGACCGGTCCTTGAGCGCGATCTAATGCCGACAGGAATTTGCGCAAAAAGTCTGAATGGCAAATGCAGTCACGCCTACATCACGTGTATTGTTCACCGACGGCCATTCGTTTCCTCCTCTTTCTCTGCGCCAGCACGTGTGCTGGTGGCTGGCAATTGTATATCGGTACCTTCACGGGAGGTACTGACGGCTACGACCAGTAGCTTCATCACACCTATCGCGATAACGTCGCAATACACCGGCGATTACGTGTTCTCCGTGTCATGCATTTGGAATGCCTACGAAATTCGCGTTACCGTAAAGGCGAGAGATATTCTGTGAGCACTGTAGTTCCTCCCTCCAAAGAAAGATTTAAGATCCAAGGTATATTTAATTTTGAAAAGCAAGTTCAAACCTGAAAGTTTAAAGTTCACTTCTGGAAAATCGTTTAAATTGAGATATTCATTTGGATACATTTTGACAAGTAAATACAAAATCAACGGTTTGGAAATTTAGCCGTATTTTCAAGCACGTATAATATTCATTTTTTTTTCGGATGGAATAGAGAATCTCTTGATTAAAAAAAAAGAAAATCTTGACCTCAGAAAGATATTAGATACTCGAAGTTTTTCTTCGTCGGATTAAATATATATATATATTTTTTTTTTCGAGGAGAACGTCTCTCTAAATACTTCAGAATATTTCTCTGCCTCCTGGTACGCATCTTTTGGGTCACCCTGTATGATCATTACGACTCGACCATTATCTGCGTAATTACTATTGATGGTAGGCTAAGCACCATCGAAGGCTTGTGCGCGAAAAAAAAAACTTCCACTCGCCGTGGAATGATAATTATTGCTACAACAAAAGGCTCGGCCGAGTGCCGAGTGTGTCGAAAGGAACATCCTTGTGTGCAAATTGACAATACATTCTTATGCGAGCGTTTAAAAATACACATCTGTGTGCTTTAATTACACATAAAACAACAAAAATACAAAGATTATCATGCGTAATTACGTTCAATTTCTGATACCGTGTTAACCGGATAATACTGGTTTAACGAATTCATCTCGTGAATGCAATTCCTTCACAACTGATCCTTGACAAATCCGGTTGCACATTAGACACAGACTTACCAAACGGAACGAAGGAGCGTGTTTTATCCGATCTAGTTTTCGATGAACGTGTCTGGAGTGTCTTTTTCATTTACAAGTACTCACTTTACGGACATTTTACAGAACATAACAGTATATGGCTGCATGCAATACTCTCGGTATATCGCAGGATGGGTTACATATTTGGGACATTCGATTTATTTATTTCATTAAAGTTATCGTACAGGGAGAGCTGGGACTTGGATGCAGGGAGCATGCGTAACACACTACTCGCGTTCACACAAACAGACGATGGGGAGAAAGAAGAGATAGTATCCGATTAATAAAAAAACAATTGATATCTCAAATATTGTTATAACTGAATTGCTAATTGAAAAGAGAGAGAGACCGTGCGATACTATATCCGAGGCAAGACAAACGCGATATTCCTGTACACACCCACACATGCGTTATTAAATGTCGCTTGGCTGAGATAACAAAGAGTTCTAAAAAGTAGCGTATTTCTTCTGGAATAGAAACATAAGGTAACCGGCAGGTTTATTAACGTCGTTTCGCGCGCTAATTGGTAACTTTACGAAGAAGAAAATTGTCAAGTTACACCAACACTTAAATACATATGTAATTAAGTTTTTGTATTAGATCTCCATACTTTATCGAATAAATTATCCTAAACAGACAGATAATAAATTTCTCTCTTTTTTTTTTTTCAAAAATGTGTTTCTCAAATTTCACCACTGCGACTCTCTAAAAATAAGAGTAGCTACGCCGTACGCAACTGACTAGATAAGTCCGCTCGTCTCTAAAAAAAAAGAGACAGAGAGATCGAGTGGAATCTTTCCCGTTGTATTTTTTATTTCTAATAATGTCCTGCCCAATTGTTCCCTTAATTTTCTCACTTTCTCACCTTTTTATATCCTTCCTCTTTCCCGTCAAGGAACCTTACTCCGAGGAATGTGTCTCCGGAGAATATCTTGGAGACATAGATATTTTCGTTACATAGATATGCGCGATTTAATAATTTATCTACCCTAATAATACTAGTACAGTAGTATATCAATGACTAATCTCAAAATAAAATATAATATACATAGGTTTATATATATATATATGTATACGTATATATATCGTAGAGACTAAATTCGAGAAATCGCCTGCGGTATTTCCATATAGTTTTAGATCTAAGGATAAAGAATAAATTCCTGCAATGGAAGGATGACAGAACGTAATTCGACCAGCGAAGTAGTTCGTTAAATGATCACAGAATTATACCTCGTAACAGCGCACGTCTGATGGAGCGATTAAGTAATAGACGATTGTCTAGCGATAATAGATCCTGTCTACGTTATCCGTCAGCGAGAAGGGCCACGACATTCCTATAAATAATATAACGACATAATTCCATAGCTAAGAAGGCACATGTTTGCAGATATGTTTAGGCGTATACTGGCGGTATACTCTTATAAAGAGGCAAGTCGCAGAGAAAATCGATATGTACTACAGATATTTTCGATAAAATAATCACAAATCACCAGGAATGTAGAGTATAGAACGATATATAATAATATCATAACAAATGTTGCCTTACTTGCGATATCAATAACATATCGCAAGTAAGGCAACCAAGTTTCATGTCCCTTCTAGAGTGATATTTATGTACGACGTAATAATCGTTAATATATAATATATCCTGCGGCTTATAGAATATTCTTTGGAGGCAACGTGTGGCAAGAGAATAAAAAAATGACGCCATTTTCGAGGCCCCCTCGCATACTCGGAGTGTCTTACAGTAATATAAGAAGAACAGTGCCCGCACTTGCTTCTATTTGGTCCTTTTATACCCGTTTCACGCTCTCTTCATTGATCGTTCGATCAATTAAAATCATCACGAATCGAACGAGCGAGAAAGAAGAGCGAAAATATTATTTAGATCGATTTCAGTTTCTTCGAGACTATCTACTATCATCGATCGACGCGTCGTCGATCTTTCTAATGTATCTTTTCGCGAATTTTACGCTAGCTGAGATTTAGGTCACGTGGATATCTGAAACAGAAAGCAAAGAAAAGATTCCTTTAATTCGTATGTACTATTAATTAATTCGGAAAAGACTTGAATACGATTTTGTAAGTTTATAAAGAAATAGGCTGTTAAAAGTAGAATTTAATTATAAAAATATAAGTCTTTTCCAGTCCTTTGTTAAAAGATATTTTCTGTCTATCTGACTCGACACTCACCTCACCCTATAAATCCTGCCGCTAACGATATGATGAGAGCTAGAATCCCGGTCAGCATTTGACCAGCTGTCGAAACGACCGGCGGTGACGCCGCATTCTCGACCACCGCGCCCGGTAGGAAGTAATCCTCCGCGGTCAACCTGTCACCATACTTATCCAGCAATACCATAACGACTCCGTTCGACCAGCCGAAACCAAGTTGTACTTCGTACTCACCTCCAGTACCGTGGCCACCCGAGACGGTTGCGTCGTACTGCGAAAATAAAATTCCATTTTCCCTCATCTTATAAATCTCTTCCCGACAAGACAATTGCGCGAACAATTCAGAAAAAAAATCTTAAGAAATTAAACGACTCAATGACTCTTGATACAATAAAATGTTTCATGCGACATCAATTTTTTTTCAAAATATGTATAAGAATCTATCCTTCGTTTTGCTTTCTCTTCATGAGAATTACCTTTTCATACATGCTGTGCGTCTCGTTGAAAGCCTTATAGTTACTACGGACCCATCTCTGGCTAATCTCGTAGGCCAATCTCTGCGCCCATGGGTCGCCCGTGTTGTTCAACGACATGATGAAGAAATATTGGAGAGGCGGCCAGGCGTTGGGATAGTCCCACTGCTCGCCGGAGTGCTCCAACGTCGACGGTATGCCGCCCTGATTCAACATGATCTGACTCTTTTCGAGGTACTTGAGCACCTTCGACACGTATTCGGCCCTCTTCGACGTGTCATAGCAGTCCGTCCAGAGCGGTAGGATGTTGGTCGGGTAGAAGTAGTCCCGCTTGATGTCGTTCAGCATATCGTAGTCCAACCAGACACCCACCTCCTCGTGCCACAGCACCATCTCGACCGCTTCCTTCCACTTCTCGGCCAGGTCCTCGTAATACGCGGCCTTCGTCTCGTTGCCCAACTGACGACTGTACTGCGCCAGCAGCACGGCGTTTCGATGTATTAAGGTATTCAAATCGACCGGAATTATAGATCTGGTCTTGAGATTTGTCAGATTACCTGAAATCCGTCCGGCTATCAGCCTCCAGTTTCCCCCTCAAGTCATTCCCACGAGCGTATTATATCGAAACCGCGATTACAGCGTGACAACGTTTTATAATACGCTAAATCGCTTCGTTTTCAATTTATGATTGAGCGAGGTAAGGCCGGTCTAAACGGTTGCAGAAACTGTAGGCACGATCTAACGATCTCACAAAGTTGCAACACGTGCTTTTGCGAAAATGAATTTTAGAGTACCGAGATGTCTCGAACAATTGCTTTCACTTAGGAAACGAGACGGAGGGCCTTGAGGCGCGCGCAGATCTCATTGAAGATACGCTGTTTAATGTGGAATAGCACGATAATTGTGGGTAATACTGCATGTGTATAATACGTCATTATATACCTTCGGTTCGATCCATTAAAAAAAAAAATTATGACGAACAAAACAGGATTGCGCTCTCGGCTTCTTTTAAGTGTACGACATTAGTTGCAAATGAGCATCGCGGGTAATCAAAAGAATTTGCGCGCAAAAGAATTATTTACTATAGTTGCGGGGCATTCCTATGCATTCTGTCTTTATAACACGTACAAACATCCTTCCTTGTTGAATCAGAGATATCACTATTACGAGTTTATAATTAGTGCGGCACGTCATTTTCTGTCGTCTCTATGACAATAATACTTTATCCAGCCATCAAAAGCAATTTTAATTGTGCTCACGGACTCGCCTGTAATATCATTGCGCCCAACGTCGCTCACCCATAAAGGCTTCTATTTTCATCGCGCGGGAAGCAATTAAGGAATGATAATTACCCTTGTTGGTACCCTCGTTTACGAACCATCGACTGGAAAAATCCCATCCGGACTCGGCCGCCGTTTTCAATTCCGCATAATAATTGTCCTTCTCTTCGGTGGTTCGAAAACTTTGGCTCGTCAGGTAGTCCTCCCTGATCATCAAGCGCGAGATTAAAAGAAAAATCAAAGGATGGAAACCGAAATCGCGTCGGAATCGAGATGTCGAAAGTGAGAGTAGCATCGGTAATTCATTAAGAAAACTCGCAAAATCAATGCTGACCTCATGCGTCTTGCAAGAGAGTCAGAATCTCTCGCGAGAATGATGCACGGAAAGAACGATTTTGCTGGGAGATCTAAAAATTTGGCTGGATAGAGATTTGAAAATAATTCTTGTTGAACCATCAAAATAATTTTGTTGGAAAATATAAAATTTTAATATTCTAGCAATCAGTTTAATTTTCCAAGAAAATTATTTTGATGGTCCAACAAGAATTATTTTCAGATCTGTATCCAGCAAAATCGTTCTTTCCGTGTGTAAGTATTGCATAAAATGCACAAAAATATTAATATTATAATACATTAAAATATTAATACATTAACTGACATAAAGTACAATAAGCATAACACAGTATCGCGGTCGTTAAGACCAATATCCCCGTGTACGCTTCATTTGCATCATCTAGATCATTTAGCTCCTCTCGAAATCCGCATCGTCATCCGCGCTATTTACCGAAGCCGCGGAGATCGCGGTACTCACTTGTAGGATTCCGGGCGGGGACCCGACGACTCCTCGTAGTACCTAACGAGCGTGTAATTGATCCCGTCTTTCTCGATGTCCACGGTACGATTGGTCATCCAGAAGTTGAACTCCTTCTCCAGCAGCCAGAAGTTCTCCTTCAGCCAGGCGTCGTCGTGGGTGATCTTCAGGTACTCGTCCACCATCGGTATCAACAGCGGCGGATGCGAGCGCATTTTGTAGTATATTCTGCCGCCGTTCGGTATGAAGCCGATCTTATCCACTATCGAGACGAAATTGTTCAGCATGCCCTTGACGGTGTCGTGCATCTCGGACAGCATCAGGCCCTTGATGATCCAGTACGAGTCCCAGTAGTAGAACTCGCGGAACCTGCCGCCGGGTACGATCACCGGATGCGGCACGTAGATGATCGAGTAGAGGTGCTCGTTGATCCGCACGTCGTCGCGCATCTTCCTGCCCAGCAGCTTCCAGATGTAATTGAGATCGGAGCCGAACTTCCGCAGCTCGTCGTCCTCGATGTTCTGCAGGAACTTGGGGGTGGCCGTCCAGTCGGTCGGGTCCCAGTCCTCGAACTCGTAGCCCGGCAGCTCGAACGTGTCGTTGACGAACTTCTCGACCTGGTGCCTGTTCGGCGCGTTGTTCGCGCCCTTCATGAAGGCCCGGTACGACGCCAGCGTCTCGTTCGCCGGGCGCTTCATCTTCATGTCGACGAAGTACTTGGAGTCCTTGTATATGCCGGCCATTTGTACCGTGTGCAGCAGATCGCCGTGGCAGTATACCTCACTGGAAAGGCACGGTACATGGCTACTTGGCTATTCGACGCGAAGCACGAGACCCCCCTCGATCGCGATTGGTCGCGACGGCGGGTCTCTCTCGCCGGGTACCGATCGCGGGAGCGTTACGTATGGATGAAATCGTACAGAGGCTGAACTTTGCACCGGAGTGAAAAAGAAAGGACGAACGTGTTTCTGAGGAAACAGCGAACGCGCCGACTGCTAATTTATGCGGTGATTTATGCAGACCTATAGTAACAGCACGATAACGACGAACTTACGAAGAGACTTAACGAGGAATGTGATTGACATAGGAATTGCTGTTATTTACTACTCGAGATTTAATTGTATATATATATATAGGCACGATATTAATTAGATAGCCGTCAAATCTCTTTTCACCGCAGTGCAAAGTCAACCCCTTGTCAAAGGGAGCTATGTTAAGGTTTCCGAACAGTGGCGTAATCTTACATAGTGGCATTACGAGACACGCTTTTCAACTATTCGCGGTTTTCGCGGTTGGCTCGACATCTGGACCAATGTCTCGACCTCCTAAGACTAGCCGGAGATATTTCAGAACGCGCAATCTCCAGTGGGGAGGTAAAGGAAGTTATATAGCCACTAATTGTGAGAATAAAAGAGCTGTAACTTCTAATTGCGAAACAGGGTAATCCATTAGTCGATCGTTCATACTCATAAACAACGATGATAAGTTAATAAAAATGCAGGCGGCATGTGTAAAGAATTACACCGTTCTGCTTAACAGTAACAAAATGCCGATCCCGCAATTACATCGTTTATTTTTTCCTATGAACTGTAAGACGTTGTAAGTATCCTGATTCACTTCCGGATATATACCTTCAGCTAGTCAGGCCGAGGCGGGATTAGATCAGAGCTCATAAAAAGAACGCATTCATTCGGACAAGCGCATACTCATGCGGATCGTCAAATATGAAAATTCTCTCTGTGTCGCGATTATGAAAATTGCAAAACCACAAAGCGAGCGTAAATGTCAAAAGCGCTCAAAAGTTTCATGACATTTCTTCGTATCGATACGATTCATCGAAAAAAAAAAAAGATTCTACTTCTCTCGCGAGACCCAACGCAAGCAAATGCACTTGTCGGCATTCTTCTCGCTTCCGTGAATTCCGCTATTCTCCCTCGCGTGAATTATTTGTCCGCGATCTCGCACGCGCCGAGCGGTGCGCGATATCGCGCGGATTCGCGAAACACGTATTACAAATCGGTCCGGCCACGCCGGGTACGTGCGAAATCGCGCGACTCCCGCTATCCTGAAACGGCCTTGATGCGCGATCCCCGCGTGCACGTGCTCGCGCGTTTCGCGCGGCTAATATAGGAATGAAATCGATCGTCTGTGTCTGTGCGCACGCGGAATCGAGGAGATACCGCGCGCGCGCTTCGCTCGCGTGACGGAATGCGCGAGGCGGTGGCGATCGGCGCGCGGCTCTCGCGAAATGTGCCGCCTCATTATCATTACTAATATACGCGGCGTTACGGCCGCGCGTCTCGCGCTCGCCTCGCGAATGGAATAATGATTTTCCCGCTCGCGCCTGGAACCGATCGCCTTGTTACGCGCGTTTAACGAGATTATACCCTGAGGAAATCTGCGCGGCAGAGATGTGCAAATTTCCGCGGTGCCGCCTGATTCGCGAGAGCAATCTGACCGCCCGATTATTAGTCCGCGATTATACGTGCCGACACGATCCTTTTAACGCAAATACAATTATCCGCATGGAATAACTGCACGCGCGCGCGCGGAAGTACCTTCTCATTGAGACACGTCGCGATAATACGAGAGAATATTTTTTTAAGGGGGAAGATGCCTATCCTTTTGAACAAATCGGATATGCGATCGCCAGGTTATGGTATTGTTGTCTTGGTAAGCTGTTCCTAGAAGAATATTATTTAAAGAAGTTTTTTTGCCCCTCCTGACAAGTCTATTTGCTCCGCGCGTTGTCAGATTATCTATGTTAATACATTTTCAAATGAATGGAAACGATGGCGTGGGAATGATAGCGCGATTTCAGCGTTTGCGTCATTTGAGCAGTATCCATGATAATTTCGCGCGTTTGAACATATATTCGCGCATGTATGCGAATAACCATGATCATACAATTTTCGCCGCCTCTGTCATTTCTAGCACGCGCCGGTTATCCCATAATAATAAACTCTACGAATCTATACACACAACTCTATAACAAACCCTGTATATCAACAGTTATGCGTAATACATTGCTAACTAGCTGGTTTCACGCGACAATCTAATTTAAATGATCGGCTTCTATTTATTCTTTTCAAACAATATATCGATCGCGCGATACGAATTGGTATTATTTTTACATTAACTGCGGGTAAAAAATTATCACGGAAAATAACGATGTAATTATCGCGAACAAGATGTCAAATGCAGGGATAGATATAGATACGTTTTAATTACACCTTGATTTAATTAATATGCTAAACGTGACTGCGGATGTTGCATCATGCGACAGAAGAACCGTACGTCCGCGTCTGCTATACTTTTCGCGACAAGAGATCTGCATTTGATATACTGCTCATTAACCGTCGGATATAAATATTCGTATATGCGTCTAAGCAAATCGTCCCGTCGAGTTAGATCTTCCGCGACGAAAATCCGGCGCGCGTCTTAGATTGAAATGTCATTGCGGTCTCGGCCAAGAAGTGGCCTGATCGCGCCACTTTATTAAGACGTCACTCGAAAGATCTCCGGAAGATTCAATTTACTAAGCCCCAAGCGCGTTCGGCGTGCCGCCTCTCGTATCCTTTGTCCATCGTCGCGTTATCCTACGCGCCGCTCGTCGTCACGCCACAATCAAGGATAGCTCGACGCGTGCTGTTTCGGTGGGGAAAAAAAAAAAAAAAAACCAGAAGGTATCTCGACCAGATCAGCGAAGTTAATCGTTGTCGCGATCACGAAGTGTGGCGCCCATTACCGGATATACCCGGTGCACGTTATCTCGCGGAGACGACGATTCGGATCTACCTGTGTCGCGACACACGCTTATACTCAACAAACATGTTTGCATCATGTGAGGCGCAGTCCTTGACTTCTTGGAAGACATTACCGAATTTTACGTCCGCGAATTAGCAGGCAATTCGACACCGAAACCTATTATCACCCGCGCAAATCGCGACATCGCGAGCATTTAGGAATTTAGGAAGAGAGTTATTATACGAGAGTAATTATAAGACAGCTTTTTTTAAAATAATTTTACCAAGAAATAAATACCGAATATATATTTATTTTCATTGAACGAGTCTGCTCTGCATTGCGGGAAACGTAGGGTAGATTTTATCGGGATGGCGCAACGCCAAAATACGCGCGGTCGCATACGAAAATGTTTAATATCTCTCGAAATCTCGATACGAGATAAATGCTGTTAATTGAAATTTTGCCCAGAATTTCAATCTAAAATTGTATCAGTCACATGTTATATAATAATAGACTTCATTCTACGTAATAAAATTCAAAATTTTAACAGTAGACGTTTTAGATCGAATACAAAAATGTCGGAAGATAGTAAAGTTTTATCTATTATTAACAAGTCCGATACCCTTCATTGCGCGCTTCGTTTAAGAGCCATGACATATCAGTAAAAAGAGCACAGTTTCGCAATTACATATACAACCTGATTTTTTTCCCGTATCTTGCACCGCGTAATCGTACGGTTAAAAATACGCTACATATCGCTAGTAAAATATTTTTAGAACTGTCACACATACATACGTAATAATGCGCTTTTCCATTTGCATTTTTAAACGCGCGTATCACAAAATCCTCGATAATTCTGTGCCGCCAGCGGCACTTCTCGGCGCGTACGTGAGAACAAAAAAAACACGAAACGCCGAATCTTTCGACGGACAGATGCCCGGCGACGCGTGATCGATCGCGCGAGCGAAAAGTTTCCGTTGCAAATCAACGCGCTACTACGATGCCCACACCATTAGCATGTGCACACACTGCACGTGCAGACGTTGCAAAGGTCACGCTCATTGCGCTTGCGGAACACGCTAATTTAGAGCCCAACTTGCCGCGCGTCTAATTCCGGGACGAGGTTCATTGCTAAGGTCATTTCCCTAAATGCCCGCTAATGCAATATCGCGTACGTAATCCCGTCGATTTAAAGCGGCACAGATTCCTCGGTGCGTCAACGGCGCGATTATACTGTATAATCGCGCCTCGCCTCGCACTTTACAAGGAAGAGGAAAGTTTAAGGAGCGCAAAATTTAAAAAGCGGCGCACAGCACTCGAATTTAACAAGAACATTCCCCCCCCTTCCCACCGAACTCGCGTTGCTCTTTCGCGTGTCAATAATTAATTTTCCATTGTTTGCTCCCCGATAATAATTAATTTTCCATAATTTTTTTTCTTACCGAAATGAAGTAAGCAAAGGAAAGACAGCACGCCGCGCGCGCGATTTAATTTCAGACTATTTTTCTACGTAAGTTTCCGCAACACGTGATTCGCGTCCACGTCAGAACCAAATAGGCATCACTTGAGCAGAATTCCAAATAGCAGTAATACTACAGGATGCGTTTTCCAGTTTTTTTTTTTCAAAAAAAATTAAATAAATTTGAAAATAGATTTTTTCGAAAATAGAATATATTTATACCTACAAATATTTTTCTCAATAAAGAGATTTTTTCAAGTTATAGAACTCTTTACAATTTCCATAAAAGAAAAGGAGATAACGTTGATAGCAATGAAAACTCCTTAGCACACATTTCAATTTCTGCGGATTGATAACATTATGTAAGTAGTATAGATCTGCCAATTTGCGGAGTCTTTTTGAGATGTGCGAGCATGCGTGCACATACGTAAAATAATTAGGTTTAGATAAGATAGTAAAATTTTGAAAATTAAGTTAAAATTAATAATTCATAAAATAAATTAATTGAATTGAGTAATCTTATTAAACAACTGACTGTACACTGTCATTGCATTAATATATTATAATAAATGATGATTCGAGTTCACCTTTCGGCTGTGGAAACAGAATTAATTTACAAATACTAATCTACAGATATTAATTTGTAAATTATGCAGTACCACTATAGCTTAGAAAAACGATATAATTTTGATAGATTAGTAACGTCACGTGAGAAAAAATGCATCGTACAAAAGGTGTACGCGAGAGAAAAAACCTCTCTCACAAAATTCAAATATAAATAATGTATTAATATAATTATATACTTATATAAGGCATGATAAAATGAGAATAAACAATTATTATTGCAAATAAAATTGTTCGGTAATCCATCGTGGAAGGTTACAAATGACTGATACGTATGTGACGCGATTACTTTTTACTGTCGCGTGGACAATGTAGCTCGTTATTGTTGACGAGGCGTCATTTGAAGTCTCGTGACATTTCCTCGTCTGATACCTATGACCGGTCAGCTGTTGGAATTTACTCGTAAAGATGCGGTTTTCTGACAAATAGCTGTGCAGTGACGGATATTTAAATGGTACATAAAGTTAAAACTATGAATTTTAAAGAGTTCTATAAGTTAACAAAATTTATTAAGACAAATATATTCTAATTTTGAAAAAAAAAATCATTGTCAAATTCATTAATTTTTCTTTGAAAAAAAAAAGAACTAAAAAATTGAGAATTGCAATGAATTGCTATTGGCAATTATTCGGAGATTTCACTTCGTGTGTTCCACGCGCGATTAACTTCTGGCAACCACGTGGATTTTTGTTATAGTCTTTCATCTATTTTCAACAATAATCAGAATAATTTTAAGCCAAATGCAACAGGCAAATCGTCCTAAAAATAAAATACGAAATCTATAAACAAAATATTTTTATACGTGACTGATAAACAATTCCAACGCATAATATCGCATTTTATGTTATTTAAAAAAAAAAATGAAAATGAGAATGTCGTTAAATAAATATTGCTGGCGATATGTAAAAATGAACGAGCTGGAAAAAATTTGAGCTTTCCTCGTTTCTTTACGTAATAATCTGCAGTTTCATACGCGTTTATACAAAATGCAATAATGCCTAGTCCTAACTAATTAGTCCTACGTCATTTTGTAATTCCATCCTCGCGAATGATGGTTACTGAGACAGGTGTACGATAATTGGGATGTGAGATTTTATGCAATTACGCGCGCCCATAACGTAATCGCTTACGTATAAGTCAGTGGCGTAAAGCACTCGATTTCGAGTGTCTGGCTCTGACAGGATCTACATAAATTGTGCGCTGAAATGATAAACATGCTTCGGAAAATTCTCAAACGTATCATTCGAGATTTCTCCCTCGTCTTCAGCCGTTTTGATTAAGGATGAATGTTTGTAGAGTGAATTAAGCGCATATTATATTTATAAGAATAAGCAATGAGAAGTAAAAAATTGTTTAAAAAAAATATTCTCACTCGTCGATTGCTTAAAGGATGTTGAAAGTCGTTGACGTTAAAAATTTCTAGTATCGTACGACGGAAAATGCGACTTTATCGCAGTTTATCATAACTTCGAAGGCCAACGGCAGCAACGTAAGTCTCTAGGGTCATTTAAGTAATTATCTGTTAACAACAGTTTCGTTATCGAACGCGAACGGTGACACGGTAACGAAAAAAAAAATGAAGTCTTTTTTGCAACTCGAACGGCTGAATAATCGCTTGGCTGGTTCTCTGAGACACTTACCTTGAACACGGGGGCGGTTTCGTCGTGCCCGTGTTATCCGCGGTTATAGCGGTGCTCGGTAGAACGACGAGGAACGTGAAGAGCGCAGCGTGCACCAGAGGACGAAACATCGAAACGGAGCATGTCGAGACCACGGCCATTTTTTTTCGCTCTCTCGGTTACTCGTACTACTATACGTGCGTGTGCGTGTACGGTCTACCGTTTCTCTCTCTCTCTCTCTTTTTTCCCCTCTTTGCTTCTTTACTGCCGTGTCGGCCGAATGTATCGCGGTTTTACGTTACACAAGCACGCGCGGAGAAGCACAAGCGCATCACTTTTTCTCTTGAGGTTTTTTATCGGGAAAATAGCGCGAAATGAAAACGAGAAAAAAAAACCAGCAACGCGCAATATCGAAAGATTCGAAAGACAGATTTTTAACGGCGTCTCTCTTTCTCTCTCTGCGATTTTCCCTCCTTGCTTTCTATCGAGAACCGAAAAGCCGTCTCCTCGACGTATTCGTATACGTTTTCTTTTTTTTTTCTATTTTCCCTCTCGCTTTTCCTTCTCTCTCCTCCTCTTTCACTCTTGATCTAGCGACTCTGCTTTCTTCGTTTTAAACGTTTCTCCCCCGTTTTGTTCCTCTGTTTTGTTCGACTTTTCCGTTTCTTTTTTTTTTTGTTTGTCTTTAGACCCGGCTCGATTCGACGGTGTCTCTCGTGACCCGCTTTATTCGAGCGAGAGATACTGAGAGGGTGATGGCGCGCGCGCGCGGGGTGATGATCCTGACGCGAATGATCCTTACTTTTTCGTGATCGGTTTCGGATGCGGACCCACGAACTTTCGCAGCCGACGGGGCGGTCTCAGCTCCAACAGCGAGGCCGCATCTCTCCTGCAACACGAAATGGGAAAAACAGACGTTAAACGATGTGAGAACGTTGAAGTTATGCGCTGTCAGTTAATAGCACAATCACACACACTTATGTCATTTACATTCTAATTTTACATTTTAATATCTTTCTTCATAGAAGATTCCTCGCCGCTGAGTGCGATTAGACGCGTATATAAGACGAAAAGCGGTATAAGGCGTGCGAAAATAAAATGACTCGTGCGTCGAAACGTTTTCGAAATGTTTTCGAAATTAATTTGATTTCGACCACGAAGTTTTGCAAATTGTCGCGTTTCACAAGCGACACGTGGAAACAAATTCCAAATGCTGGGATAAACGACACTCTCAGAAATTGGAGAAACGTAGCGCGTTTCACCTTCCAATGCACGCACGAATAATCGTTCGGCACTCCCGCGGCGTTTTTACGTCAAGGAAACGTAAAGTCGTTCGACGTATATAGCAGTACGTATAAGTATAATATCAAAACCGGTAAATCGATCGTCGTACTTCTCATTAGCTGATTGCAACTCAACGCGTTTTGAATTAATCGCGGCAAGCCGCGATTTGTGAGTCGCATTAAAACAATTGGATATGCGTTTACCGCGGCGCCGATCTGCGGGACGATAAATATGCCACGCACAATGAGGAACGATCCTGAGGATCTAACGCGATGAATCACATTTGCGAATAATTCGATGAATTCGAATTGCGAGATAATCAATTCCGTCGTGATTTGATAAATAAAATAAAGAAAAGAAAGCGAGATTTTTACATCTTTGTAGCCATCATTTTAATGACAGATTGCGATAAGGTTTTGCGTCGTCTTTCGCGCACGAAAGTCGACCTCGATAGAGAACCTTGAATATCTCGAAACATTTCTCGGAATATTAATTAAAAATATTGTATCTAAATTCAGCAAATTAATACATCATGTGTTGTAATTAATTAACATTGACGTTGCGACAGGCATCCGCATACGAATAAACATAGTTCTGACCCACAAATTTTGTCAAGTATATCGTAATTGTAATATAAATATCATAAATATATATATATATATATATATATATCCAAAAATAAATATATAATAATATATAATAATTCATTTCTTTAAGACTTTGAGAACATCTTAATTTAATCTTGAATTTAAATTATTTATAACTATTATATATTATTAAAATTTACTAACAATGGATTTATAATTTATATTTTATAATCTATGTAATTAGTAATTCATTTGTTAAAATATATGCTGTACGTTGTTAAAATTTAATAATTCAATTTTCTCTCATTCTCTTAAAAAATTAATCATAACATGTCCATTTAATCCTTTCTTCTAATTCTTTATAATTCCTTTAATTTAAATGAAGAGCACACGACGAAGATTTATAATAAAATCTTTGACAATCGAAGCTGTAAGATAAGATTTCTATATTGAGCAGCTGTAAAATTCCGACCGCGAGTCTCAAGACGCGTTTTATTTTCTGCATGATTGCTCGCCATTGAAACGTGTGTACGTACAACAGCGACACGCTCGTTAAGTTTGTCAATACCGGTCACCAAATTGACATCACTCGTGCTTATTTCCGTCCCTAAATGGCACCGGCTACATTTAGCCACGGAGTAACCATGAGTGCGATACGTGTCACCTGCCTTGTTCTCGGTGCGATGCACGAATCGAGGAGGCAGATGAAGTCGGTATTAAACGACGACTGAGTATTATCGAATGACTGATTTCGCGTTATTGTCACAATTTAAGGACTTTTTCCCTCTCGCTTTCTCGTTTTCTCGCCATGCGAAATGTCCAATTTAAAAACGTGAAAATAAAGATGCAAATGCGACCGCAATTGTTACCTCTTCATAAAATTCTTGCGGGACGTTTATCGCAGAAACATAGTCGTGAGAAATACATATCTGTCTGCGATATTCGCACGTTAAGCTCTGGAAGGTTAACAGATATGCTGCAAAAATAGGAAGGACAATAGCGATCATACACGAATAGATCAGCGTGAGTTTTTCCAACAACTGAGTTTTTTTTTCGAAGCGCGATGTAGTCGACGCCCGTGACCGATCGACGCTGTGATTCGACGGTACGGAATTGCAAATTAACAGTACACGAAACATATTTCGCGGCACGTTCTCCCGATGTGATAACGTAATGCATCATAATCATAGGAAAATAAAATTTACGAGTTTACAGTACAACGAGAGCAACGATACAAATAAAGTAACGTTGTGTGTGTTCAACTCCGCTTTTTAATCTTATCTAGTTGAGGATACTCGCAAAAACCTGTTGATAAAGAGTGAATCAATAGTTACGATTATTGTTGCAACGAAAGCGCCTCCTGCGTCGACGCGCGCGTAATTACTTACGGGATGCACGCGAGTCAACCTTCGCGTATCTTTCCAATCTCCCGGCCGAGAGACACGTACGGACGTACGTAGGCACCGCTGCGCTAAAAGCTTTTCCTTCGGTCCGCGTGATCGCCGCTCCGTTCCTGATCGCGCGCCAGCTCGATCGTAAAATTATCCCTCGAGAGCGTAACGGATCAGCGGATCAGGGGATCTCTCTCGCGTCTGGTCTAATTGCGGCCACCGATGCTGGACGACGAAATCTCCGGTGTACGTAACGTTGGGATGGAATCCGCGAGGGTAAAGAGGAACTGGGGGAAGCAGGAGAAACGGCAGAAGAAGAAGAAGAAGAAGAAGAAGAGCGAAAGAGGAAGGGAGGGAAGGGATACGCCGACAATGCACTAGCCTCTCTCTGTCTTCGTCACCTCTCTCTTGCCCGATGGGAATCCGACGGCTCCTGACGGCTCCTCAGCTCCAGCAATGCACACGGTGCAGCGTGCGTCGTGCGACTGATTCGCGCGTCCCACGCGGCCCGCCTTTTAAACGACGTTACGTCACGCCGCGTACGAGTCGAGCCTCCGACGGCGCGATCGCCGATTGGACTGGAGCGGCACGGCAGCCCTGTCAGTTGGTCGACGTGAGACACACACCCCGCGCCGGATTCAAATTTCAAATGCGTTAGCGGGATGCGGAGTCGAGCGAGAAAGAGAGAGAGACAGATACGGATCCAGGGGAGGCTGTTGCTGATGCTTCGCGCGTTTCGGGGAACGAAAACGGATCCGTTGCGTGTAAACGGACGATCGGGTGGCAATGACCGGGGGGAGGGGGGGAATTGAATCGTAGATGCGCGCGCGAAATTTATCGGATGTCGCATTTTCGACGAGAGATATATGGAACTTCTTGGAAAGGAGATTACAATGTCGGACGTATAACTTCGTTCAGATATCCGAGCGGGCGAACGTGAAATCTTATAAATGTTATTTTTGTCGTGGACACGTCTCGCGATAAATCCAAGTGTTAAAATTGCAGGATCTTTTAAAATCGTATCCCACATTCATACGAGAATTCAAGCTACACTTAATATCTCGCATGAGTAAAAATTATTGTGAAGAATATATTATTAGAACTTTCTTACGGATAGGAAAATGTCAGGATGCAACCTCCATGCGTACGTAAACGGTTAACCGAGCTCTGACGTACAAATTCGTAATTTCTCTCCGGCTATGGTGCCTATGACGTCGATCGCTGGCGCAAATAGTGAAAGTATCCAGCAGGAGCGTACGAAAATTATGAGAGAACTCTGCACGATTTACGGAAGCGAGCGTCGGAAGCGCGGGGCGTTTAAGCACCACGTGCTTAAGAGGAACGCTCTATATACTTATAGCTACAGGAAAAATTGTTGCAGCAATCGGACGGTCTTTTTCCCTTTCTCTCGAAGAGTCCGTAAAATCCGGATCTCTCCCGAGACGGAACAAAGTGTAAATTCAGAGGCCGTGACAGAATGATCGTAACGTTTCGTGCAGGTAAAAAGTAGGCCACGCGCCACGGTTCATTGGCAGTAAGCGAAAATACACCTCAAGGTTACATCGATTTGACACCGAAGGAAGATCAGTTGTGCCGATCGAACGCATACAATGTAAAAATCGCGACAATGTAAACTGCCGAACTGTCGGGCGAATACTCGTCCATCGCGATCCGTCGTCCATCACGGTCGATAATATTGCACGTTAGTCGCCTTTTTCGTCGCCGTGTTATTTAATCGCGTGACAATAATCGTATCGACTGAAATCGTGACGGTCAAATAGAAGAAATGCACACACAGCTATTATCTCGTCTATATTATTGCGCAATCGTTGTTATATAATTCTTTTTATATTACTTTGAATCACCACATGAGCTTTCCACTCACGTTCCCGGCGGCGGTGAATAGGTCCGCCAGTTACATTATTCTAAAAACGGCGGCGAACACGTATGTATATGCACATATGCTTTTGACATTTGTTTAATTGTTCGCCGTTCAATACTTAAATTGCCGGAGGAACAAAGAGGATGAGACAGCCGAGTTATACGAATATTACTCATCGGGCGGAATATAAATTGCGCCCTCGTTTGAAAAAAAAAGGCGCAAAAAAGAAGAAATAGAACACCGGTGATTAGATATCGCCCGTCACCTATTTTTCGCGTCTGGGATTCGATCATCCGCGTCAATCTCGATATCTTATCGCACGCGCGTGCAGCAATCTCCGCGAGCAAAAAATTGGCACGATCGCGACCGCTTTTCCTCGCCGCCGTCGTACATCCCTCCGCGATGTCGAAACAGTTTTGGACCGAGAATCCGGCGTCGCGCT